TACTATTTTAGAGAATTCTATGCATTTCAAATAAAAAATAGCACAAATAATTATTATATATTCAAATTATACACGACTACTGCGTCATTCGCAAACAACATGCATTCAAAAAAAAAAAAAAAAAAAAAAAAAAAAAAATTTTTAAAAAAAAAAAAAAAATACAGGTCTCAGATTTTAAATTACGTCCAAAAGGACATTTCTTTAACGTTTTGTGTGCTACCTTTATTTATTAAATATCATGTTCTTTGCACTTACACCATAAAATTCAGTTCAATAGCAATGTCGATAATTAATTTTAAAATGAGCATATATTTAGAATTTCCGGTACACAATTCCGCGCGCTGGAGATAAAAAGGTTTCCACCCCCGTAGAGTGTTGCTATTGCTTGCTTTGAAATCGTTGAGTTTGTTACTCAAAAATTCGTTAAAGTTTCACAAAATATGAAATAGATAATAAAACAAATTCCAAATTTGGTCTTCCACATGCCCATATTCGTAGGAGGATTACGTCATTCAAACTTGGATGGCCTTTTTTCAAACCTTTTTTTTTATCACAATGCGAGAAATATACATACATTTACGCAGATTTTTCATTATTTAATTACTTCAAATGTAATGCAGAACTCTAACATTTGGTGGCAACAGTCTGAAAAGTGATTCGCCGTTTATAGTGATTCAACGCAAAATCGCAAAAACGAAAACAACATAGTCTTTCTAAGGGACTAATACGCCCCTTTGGACTAATAAATAAAATTATGAAAGGTTTCAGATTTTAAACTACGTCCAAAGGAGCGTTTTTAACGTTTTGTGTGTTACCTCATTAAATATCATGTCTTACGTACCCCAACCATAAAGTTCAGTTCAACAGCAATATCTCAAAATTATTTTAAAATGAGCCGTATCTTAGAATAAGTCTCTCGCGCTGGAGATAAAAATAGTTTTTTTTCGTACGGTGTTGACATTACTCGCTTTGAAATCATTTAGTTTTCTAATCAAAAATTCTTTGAAGTGTTATAAAATATGAAATAGATAATAAAACAATTTTCAAATTCAAATTAGGGCGACAATTTGAAAAGTGATTTGCCGTTTATAGTTTTCAATGCAAAATGCCACAACGAAATTAATAGTCCTTCAGGGGAAATTGCCCCTTTGGACTAAAAATAAAATAAGCGAACATAAAAAAGTAAATTTTTGTGCTTCTTTTCTTATTAGTATTTTGTTTTAATTATTTATTTACTGTGGTTTTTTTTTTTAAACTGAAATTTGTTACTTTTAGAAAAGTTGCGGGTTATATTTCGGACATTCAGTTGTTAGGCTGTAGGTTGGTTATTTTAATAATTTATATAGCAAAATACAGAAATTTTAACACACCTTTGCCTTTCTGCTTGTAGTTATTTTGCGTTGAACAATGTAATTACAATTATGTAAGAAAATCAAACTCATTGAATTTTTTTCTAATAAAAATCGCATTGAAATCAATGTACATAAAAAGATTTGGAATATTTGAAATGAATTTGAACAGAACTTCATCAAACCAGTATAAGCCACGAATATTGTTCCAAAATGAATAAATAATTCGCCATTATTATTTTTACTATCAAATTAGATCATGCTTCATAAACCCGTTCAAAATACGCTTATTATAAATTACTGTTGATGGCTAATTTTTATTTGAATTATTGCTTAATTATGTTATTCTTTACATGTAATTATATATAATTAATGCGCTATTCGTTTCGCTCGAATAATTAAAACTTATAACTTGTCGGTTTTAATTATGTATCTATATATCCATAAGTAAATTTGTTTAAATATTTCCTGATGCTATATTTTAATTGAATTCACGAGCATTTCGCATATTTCTGAACATTCAATTTAAAAACTAAAGGATATTTTATGAAAATGTTATCTGTTTAAAGAGAGTATTGAAAAAACATGCTTACATGCTACTTTTTTATTTCGCGAAGAATGTCCACGTTTGTTTGTTGTTTATAAACCACTACATGCTCAAGCGTTTTCTTGGCGATTAAACATATCGGTCTAAAACGAAAAAGAGCAACCCTCTTTGCCTCCTACTGAGAACTGTCATTTAGAGATCTCCAGGGTTCCAGAAATAAGGGAGGTGCTGAGACATCTGCACGGCCGCTTTAAGGTGGTCATAGCGCTTTTGAGGTCGTCGCCACTGACCGCCTAGAACCGTCAGTAACGCTTTCGAGCACTTTTCCATTGACCGCCTAATAGAAGCATCGGTAATGCTTTTGAGGTAGGTCTTCTTGACCGGCTAAACCTGGTCATAACGCTCAGAGGGTTAAAAGACATCTCTTTTTACCATAGGATTTGAAGTTTTTTTCCTTTTATCCTGCTCTACCTATTGCTAGAGAATTTCTCAAAGTCATTTATCCATGCCTTCATCAGCATTACAGGTTCATTCCAACAATTCATCTGATACAGTGTGTTTGTACATTTTGGATTTTATTCACAATCCGTCTAGTGTATAATAACCTTCAAGGTTTTGTGCCATTAAAAGCCAACCAACCAACCAATCATACTCTAAGAATTGCATAATCAGGTTTTGTAGAATATGAAACTGTTATATCTTCTGAAACTATTATATTTAAAGAAAATATGCCTGTGCAGGAAAAGAATATAGTGGAGGAAGAAAAGAGGTAAGAGAGAGATATATATTTTGCAGATATGAAGAAGTCTGTTATAAATGTGCAACAAAATATTAAAAATTGATATATCTTCCAGCAAAAGTACATTCGAAGCAATTTTTGTGCTCTTAAACAAAACAATTTGTTACTTATGTATTAGTGCATCCACCTTGGTGTAATCTGGCAATTTTCTGCAAAAAAAGAAAGAATGATGAGTTAAAAATTGGAAAAAAAAAAAAATTATTACAACTATATTTTATGTTTTAATTACATATTTATTCAGAAAATCAATCAATAAACATAATTATAAATGGGATTTTCTTTCTTTTGCCTGAAGGGAAATTTAGTGTTGAATGCTTTAAATGCCTTTGAGAAAATGTTGCCAATTTGTCAATGGGTACCACTGACCATTGCATTAGATTTCTGATATCAGAATTATATTTCATTAATTTATTCTTTGTCAAGATTCTGGCTGAGGCCAAATTGAAATTTTTCATCAAAAAGAATTGAATCAAATGGCCAGGATAACCATAGCAACACCTCTTTGGGGAGGATAAGATGATACTTTAAGCTATGTTATCATCTGCAATACTGGAGAGTAAAAAAACTTTCCTAGGCGGTACCGATGCTAGATCATCAGCTGCCCTTTTTTACACAAATATAATATGCTTGATAATCATTTTGCTGCCTTTAAATCTAGCCGCCCACATGCTGTGCTATGGTCCCCTGCTATGGTCGGGCGTGTCCATAGGGGTTTATTTTCAATGCAGAAAGAATTTGTTAGTCTTAAAGAAAATATTAGCATTTACTTATGCAGTGTTAAGTACTGTAAATGAATTTATATTTTCTGTTTGTTCTTTTCTGTAGATTTAGTTAATTTCAATTTCAATATTTAAGGATGCTGATTCGTTTTTTTTAGGATTATAAGCTCTAGGATTTCAATTATTATTAATCAAAGCTACCATTTTATCCCCCCCTGAAAGCAAATATTACTTTGGTATTCTTGTCTTATTTAGAAATTTTGAGCTAAACAGCATCAAACATTATAAAATTTCTACCACAGAAAGAGCGAGTGGAAGGCGTGGTAAAATGAAAAATAGCTCAATTATATCACAGTCAACAACTTTTATGTAAGATATCCCTTAGATATGCATTAGTCATCAGCAGATAGTTAAGGTTTCATGGGAAGGATGCAGTTTCATTAGGCGCTGTTACGTATTTTGAAAATTAAAGTCTGCAAAACATGAATTTTTTTGGGGCAGAAAATGTTAATAGAACGTTATAAACTGGTAGCATAATAAATTTTATAGACATGCAAGCAGACTACTAACTTGTAATTACATGCAGCTGTAAACTGGCCTTTCTTAAAAAATGTTAAGTTTTTCATTTTTTAATAAGGGTTTTAAATGCATAGATTTGGATTAATTTTATGACTGTTTAATTAGTTTCCAATTATCTATTTAATATTTGTTCTTATAAAATTATATCTCATCTGATAAATAGTTTTTAATATCAATATATTGGAACCAATGAACTTCATTATGAATGTCTTATATGTAAATGCCCACCAGCGGTGGAGCAGTAAAGTTACCAAACACTGGTAGTTTGGTCCTGCGTTAAAATCCTGGTGAATGAACTGGCTGCATGGGCGATTTTGTGGTTTTCTGCTTGTATATTGTGTATATGAGGCAGTTTCCTTTAGAAAGTTCTTCACAAAGGCATCCCTCCCTTTAGGCAGATAGCCCTTGAGTGCTTCGACATGACAAATAAAGTGATATTTAAATAAATAAGTTGATATTTTAATTGTTTGCCATCTTTATCAAATACCTATTGCATTTACCGTAGAAGAATTAAAATCAGAATTAAAGAATTAAAGCAAATGCTTATTAGAATTGAAGTAAGTGCTGTTGTTTTTATTAAGTTTCTTTTATACTTTGTGTTTTCTGCGTTGCACGCTCTTTGCAGGCTCGAAACCTGTTACTGTTCCAGTGCTACAAAGAAAAATGCTGAAAAATATTTTACATCATGTCTATCTAGTATATGTGTTATCAGAGTTTAAAAAATAATGATCCTACAATTTTGAGATTTTTTTAGTGCTATGAAATATTAATTATATTAAAGAAAAGTAATTTTCTTACTACACTGAAGTATGATGTGACTGCCAGTATTTTCATTTTTCTGCAAGAGGGCGAGGGTGTGTCATATTTTTAACATTTTCTTAAGAAGATTTAGCAAGAATGTATGTAATAAATTCAGTTTTTTTTTTTTTTGGTAATGATTGAAGTTTTTATTCACAGTATTTAAATATGTTTTATTTTCACTATATTTAATCTGTCTGAATTCTTAGGTTGGGAATTACCTTCGAATGTTTAGAGGATCTTTATACAAAAGGTACCCTTCACTGTGGCGACGTTTAGTAACTGTTGATGAACGACGGAAAATTGCTTCACTTGGTAAGTTATGCGGGTATCAAAAAATATTTTTGAAAGTTTTCTTCCAGTTTACTCTTAACAGCTCAGTTTATGGTGATAGGTATAATTTAAAACTAAATCTTTTTATATTTTCCATTTTCTCAGTATTTTTAAAAAGTAATACATATAACATTCTTTTCTTTATTGCTAAGCTTTTAGAATTTTATATAGATATCTTTAAGAAAAATAGCTGTGTCATTTATCATTATGTTATTACAGTATCTCCTCCTTAATGTAAACTCGTTTGAGAGAAACACTCGGTTAACGAGGAAAAAAAAAAAAAAATCTCCCGGCAGTGATGCATCTGATCTTACAGTATATAAATGATTAATGTGTAGAGAAGACTATTCCGGAAGTAAAACTCGAGTCTCCAGATAACACTTTAACATGAATTATTTTTTCAGAATGATTGAGATTCATATGAATGAGGTTTTACTGTAGTTTAGCATTATTAGTATTAATAAAAAGTACATACCGAAAAATATGGTGTTAAAAACTGAGAAATATGTTAATGTTATTATAGAGGTATAAGATAGTGGTACTTTTTTTAATACGTAACTATTACTTATTTTACATGTGTTTCTTATTCTATTACTTCGCTTGGTTAAGATCTTAATCTAATGTTTTGGCAAAGTATAAAAATATATATTAAAATTGTACATTGCGATGTTAACTTTAAAAAGTTACTGTGAAGTTTAAAAAAAAATAACAGCAAATTCAGAAACATTCAATTTTAACTCGAAATAAAATAGCATAGCATAATAACAATTAGCATAGAAACTAAAATAACATGCTTAAAACCATGATTAAACATTACCAAGGTCTGCAGTCTGTCTGCTTTGTTAGTTGGAATCCAAATGAATAACTTGATCAAATTTCTGTCCTCTTGTTCTTATTTCATGCAATTTTGCTTCATGTAGGATTACCGAATCTAAGATAATTGATGCCGGATGTATGCAGGGCTAGCACTAGAGCCGCTGAGGATGCACTGGGCAGCGGAATTTAGTGGTGGAAAAATTTTTAGAATTTAGGAAGGAAACGTATGGCAGAATTCCAGAGTCACAGAGTTTGCACCAGGAAAAAAAAAAAAAAAAAAAAAAAAAACTTAGTGCCGGCCCTGGATTGTATGGCAGATTAAAAGGAAGATCTTAACGTGACCTTGTGTAAATTTTCTATTAAAAGAGGTTATTTATGCACATAATATGACAATCACCTGATATGTGATGATCAATATTATCTTAGGCTTCACTTAATCAAGGTTGATTTTGCATGAAATGTAGGAACACTTTTCGATACAGGTTTACTACTATGTTGCTTATTGTTTCATACTAGCTGAGTTTGGAACTGTTTCTTATTTTTTAGTTGTCCACCAGCAGCCAAGAGGTAAAGTCTCTGAACACTGTTAGTTCTGTCTGAGGTTCAAATCTCACAAACGGGCTGGCTGCATGGGCATTTTTGTGGTTTTCCCCATGTGTAATGTGTATATGATCCAGTTTCTCATAGAATGTCCTCCATGAAAGCATCCCTCGCATTCCTTCCCTTAGGCAGATAGCCCTAGTATGCTTTGCCGTAATCTCAATAAACCAAACTTATTTTTTTAGCGGACAGTAAATTTGTATGTGACTACTTTTCTGTATCAGTCTTTTGCAAGGATTTAAATGTAATATAAGTCATCAGCAAAATCTTTATATAATGGAATTGAAAATAAGTTTAGATGCTTGATGCAAATTATTGAATTTCAAAATCATGATATTAGATACCAACTTGCACTACCTCCTTGCTTGTTACCTAAACGGCAGTTAATGTTGTCTATGTTAATTAATATCTAATTTACAGTTAAACCCTATTAATAAATCAGTTTAATAGTGGGTTTTAATGTAACAAAAACTGCATGCATTGCATTTTGTCAAACTGCACATATATTGTGTAACATAACTGAAGAACAAACCATAATATCATTTCTGAACTAAATATAATTTTTATTATGCTAAAAATATATATCTTTGAATTTACAATTAAGGAAATGTTAATAGTATTTCTCTGTCGTAGCTGAATGAGAAGGGCCTGATGTCTATTCTTTTCCTTCAGATTCTCCAGTCTTTCGATTTTCTATTACCCATAGATGGTAATGTTACCCTCCCTCACCGATGTAAGGGTGTGAAAGAGGCTTCTGCTATATTTATCCCTGTTACTGCTGCTGATGTTAATACAAAGTTATTATTGACTAGGCAGGTTTGCAGTAAACCATTGGAAAGAAAATTCCATCCAGTATAAGAAAGTTTCTTTTCAATAATCTTCCTTGAGAGAGGAATTAATACAGTAACTCGAGTATGTTTGTAAAGATCATATTAAGAATAGAGACTGTTTGGGAGAAAAGTCTAAATGGACAATGTTCATTTTTCATTTTATTACTTATACAGTAAACCCCGCTTAACACAAGGGTAACGTTTCATCAAAGTAGAGCGTTATACGAAATAGTGTTAAACAAGGTTATCTTATCTTGTATATAATGGGGTAGGGGAAAACAATTGTAAAATAAAAAAAATTGTTCAAGTTATTTGTATTAAGATCATTAAATATGTTTTTTTATAACAATAGAAAATAAAAACTTATTTTTTACAAAATTGAAACGTAACAAATGAATGTATAGAAATAAATAAAATTGTAAGTCATCATTTGTGTTTTAGATCATTCAGATTTTTCTGCATTTCTAATTTTCTATTTTTTTTTTTTTTTTTACAAACAAGGTACCTGATGTCATATGCATTTTTCTATTGCACACCGTAAGAAGTTGTCAATAGCAGGACAAGGCATCTATGACACCCCGTCTTGCCCTTGAACTCCTATAAAAAATCTGCATCATTTTCAGTCAACAAATCCATAATTTCCTTTATGGTTTTTAGAAGTGCCATTGAAAGTTCTTTTTACTCTCCTTCAGGATCGTTACTTTTAGTGTTGTTCTTGATCTGCTAATTGAGCTCATCATTAGAAAGATTTTCTGCTGTTTCCTGCAACATTTCTTCGAGGTATTCCACATTTACTTCCTCTAAACCTGTTTGTTTCGTTAATTCCACTGTTTCGTCCATACCAGCAACAGAATCTCTAGTGTCATCGTTCTTGTTTAAATCTGGCCAAATGTTTTCCCATACTTCTTTCAAACATTTTTGGTAACCTCATTCCAAGAAATATTTGTTTTTTATAGCATCCGTGAAATTATAGTTCCTCCAAAAATCTCTCATTGATTGTTTATCATCTCTGTCTGTTTTTTTTAAACATTTGGGCATTATATAAGCTTTAAATTTCATGTAACACCTTGATCCATAAGTTGGATTAATGCAAGTTGTGTTAGGCAACAAGAAAACTACTTCGACTGGAATGCATGTTATTAAGTCAGATAAATTTGTTGGGTGGCTTGGAGCATTATCTATTAAAAGTAGCGCTTTTGGCTCATGTTTTTTTATTTTGCAATAGCGTTTAACAGACAGGCAAAAATGTTCAGTGAATCAATTCTGGAAAATTTTCATAGTTATTGATGATTTTTTCATTAGACACCCAAATTACAGATAAAGTTGATCTTGATAATCCTTTCATCGCGTTTCGGTTTTTAGAATAATAAACAAGAAGTGGCTTTAATTTGAAGTCACCATTGGCATTAGTACCCAGGAGAAGTGTTAAGTGATCTTTCACAGTCCTGGTGCATGTTTTTCTTCACAGAATAGAAATGTATGTTTTGGCATTCTTTTCCAAAATAGGCCTTTTTCATCAACATTAAAAACTAAGGAAAAAATATATTTCAAGGTCCCTTTTGGCAAAAATTGGCGATTTTTTTTGTTGCCATTCCTGTTTATATGCAATGCCCTCACAAGTAAATTAGCATCAAAAACATAATTAAAACATAAAAAAATTACAATCTCAATAAACTGCATTTTAATTCAAAATAAAGAAAGGAAATAACATAAAAATGAAAATATATGTTATTTAATCTGCGTAGTACAAAAAGGAAATATTGACTTACCTTATTTAGAAATTTCCTGTGTCTTTGGTGTGTGGTACATCGAATTTCAACAGCATCCAGGAACTGTTTAAAATTATCTGAACTAGAATCTGCATACTGCTGTCATCACATGAATTCATAAAAGTAAGAATTAAAAATATCCTCTGTAGTGCAGGACTTTCGGGGGCATTTCTTTTGAAAATACCTTTTTATTACACCCCACATACCTTCGATGGTGTTGATATGAGCTCCAGTTTCTGGATGTTTAAATGCCATTGCATGATTTACTGAGAGGGTAACCAAGCCATCATGAGAAACATAACCGTACAATTTCCAGCAATCAGATATGATCATTGTTCCAGGTAAGATATTCCATTGAAGTTTCCAACATTCTTTTCTTCTGTCCTCAACCACTTCAAAAAAAAAAAAAAAAAAAAAAACCTTCTACTCCCTTGTTCTATACCACCAAACACCCAGTTTACCACTGGCAGCCATTTTACAGTATAAAGCACAAAATAAGCAACGTACTTTCTAACTGACATCCAACACAGAAATAAGCCTTGAGAAATGCTTTCCGAATGATCAAAATCAGTACCATCATGCATTACAACCGATCACGTGATGATAGGGTTTCTAAAACATACACTGTAAAATATTTAAGTTACCATATATGAAACAATTTGGCAATAATCCGAGGGGTACTCTAAAATATAGACTACCCAAAACTAATTTTGGAGGATAGTTTCCTCGTTCAGTTATTGTTCTTAATGTCATTGGGAATTCAGCCGCTGCTTTTATATCTGCACTTGCAGCTTCTTCTGTAATCTGCAAGTTATGAAGATTATTTTGATTTTGAAACTTATTAAACAATCCTCGACATGCAACGAAAGTTTCAGTTGTTTTACCTGTTTCCATCTGAATGTGATTAAAAATTGCTCTCCCTTTTCCCATTATAATAGCTTGGCTTAATGGTATATTGCATTCAATT